ATTTGAACCTCCGGTGTATCGAGATTCATATCTAAAATTGGAAGAAAAAAAATTCAAAAGGCTACGACATGAATAGCTGAAATATGTAGTCTGTCTGTCTTTTCTATTTTTCTGAAACGCCATACAAAGTAAGAAATAACCCATTCAGAATAATTAGATTTATATATATATATATAATTTATATAATTACAGGCCTTGTTGGTCGTCAAATTTCGTTTTGCATTCACAAAGATTCACTTGGACATCCAAATTAATATGCTAAAAACACATTTTTCACAAAATTGACATCTTGCTGTTGGTTGATGGAAAAAAATGCTTTGCTGTATGTAATTTTTTTTATATAGTATAAAGGCATCAATAGGCCACATTAGGTTTTAAAACCCTGTAAGCAAGGTTTATGGAAAATGATGTTGTATAAATAGCTTTTTGACAGATTTCATAAACTTTTACCTGATAATCGTATAGGCAGGGTTGGTCATTATCGCTGTAAATGTTTTGATTGAAAGTGATAATTTTAGTCCTCACTGTCAGGGTGTATATTAACGGCAGTTCCCATTAACAACCCACAAGAGGCGCTGCTGTACTGCTCAACAGACGATCACAACTCTTGGAGCTACTTTTTCTGATACATGTGATGATCGTGTAGTTTAATCTGATCAGTTTCCGAACATCATGTTAATGAGTATACTCAACGAGTTAAATAGATAAACGGAGATCTGTGTGCCAGTTCAAGAATCAGTCAGTTTGCAACTGATTGGAAAGGTTCATAAAATCCAAAAGTCAGAGGAAAAGTCAGAACTAGATTATCAAAAGTATATAAAAGATGTGTAGGCATTTCATATGGAACTTTTTTTTTTTTATCTCCAGGCCCACTGTTTCCACTAGAGACTGCTGACATTTTCCTGATTGTCTATATTATAGGCCTACACACTGAAGCTTGTGCCCTCTGAGTGGAGAGAAAGGACCTTCAGTTGTTAGTAAAACCATACCACAACAATAACGTATCTCAACACTTTAGCATAAGAATTCATAGGTAAACCCTCCCTGACAGTAATTTTTAATGCTTCTATCATATATGATAATGTAGGCATAATACTAATAATAAAACTTAATAAAGGTAGTATAACTCAGACCATATAAAAACCTACAGTTATACAGGAGGAAAGAAAAGAAAATCAAGACAAGGTCAACATGAACACAATATACTACTGAGAGCATGGAGGTCATATCCTTGTGTTGTAAATTTGAACTAGTGGTTTCACTAATGGTTTAATATCCTAAATCATTAACTAATTCTGGATCAGTTATTGTCCATTACTGAGAACCTCATGTACGTGTTTATCCACAAGCAGGGCACTTACCTCTTTTATTCAAAAACCAGCAGACCAACATCTATTCATTAATAAACTTATTAACATGTAAAATTGCAGACATAAAGACTTATAAGAAAGTTTGAAACCCACAGGTATTTATTATTATTATTATTATTATTATTATTATATACAGCCAGGGCTGATTAACCTGCTGAGGGAACCTGTGGCAAAAATTTGCCCCTGGTAGCCCCCACTATACATTTAATACATTTAAGATGATTTCCATAACCGCCCAGAGAACAACAAGCACTATAGAGCTGAAATGATTGGTCAATTAATCAGTTAGGTGGTCCACACATAATTAATTGGTGATTTTGATGATTGATTAATTGAATTAATTAGTTGAATTGTTTGTTTTTTTTAATATATAAGTATCAAGTATATAAAAGTACAGTTGAAATAATTGGTCGATTGACAGAAAATTAAATGGCAAAAATGCCAAATATTTACAGCTTCTCAAATGTGAGGATTTGCCACTTTATTTATTTATTTCATTTTACTAATTTTAAGCTATTTTAATCATTTTGACACTTGAAATGTTGTTTTGGACAAAACAAGCACTGCCAATGTGTCACTAACATTTCTCACAATTTTCAGAAGTTTTACAAAAAAAACAATCAGTAAGGAACCTACAAAAGAGCAGATTAATCTGTTATGAAAATAATCATTAGTTGCAGTTCTATTCAAAATAGTTATTAAAGGAATTACGTCAACCAACAAAAAGAAACGGTAAAATCCTGCTTTGACAGTAATCCATAGTAATTAATATAGAATAATCAAATCATATGTAAGGGTTTAAGTCACTGAGGCCAAGTATATTTTCCTGATTATTCCTGCACACTTTTACTTGGGCCTAAGTAACATTTTATTGTAGGACTTATACTACGGTATAGTTTTACACAGTGATATCAGTTCTCTTACTTAAGCAAAGGATCTGAATATTTCCTCCACTATTGCAAATACTTAATGAAAGGTGAGTTATCAGACAGTGGTACCCACGTGGAAAATCCTCCACTTTTTTCTGTCTTTATTCTGCGATGCTGACTTATTTTACTGTCTTTTAAATTCTTTATTTTTTAGGGCCATATTTTACGTTAGAAGGCACTTTGAGTGATGATCAAGTTATGGATACGTTCATGTGTCGGTGCACCCACTGCTGATTCTACTGCGGGCTTGTGCGTTTGACCGCGCGCTAGTTTCTGTGGCGGCAGGGGTGGTGAGACAGAGAAAAAAAACCTTCATGTGCGTCGTCGTATGTGAAAGTAGTTCCGGGCACTTAACCAAATCGGGGGGAGAGGAGGAGAGAGTCCCGGATGTTGGCTCGGCAGCCGAGAGAAAGGCGAACGGGAGAAGGCGGAGAGAAGCTGAGGAGGGACGCCACAGCACCGCGGGCACACCGGCGAAGCTACGGCTACAGCTGCTCTTTGCACAGGACGATAACG